CAACGAGGTTCAGGGTTCAATTCCCAGCCTGGGGTCTTTCTATATGGAGTTTACATGTTCCCCCTGTACATGCGTGGCTTCTCTCTGGGTCTGGTTTCTGCTTAGGTGAGTGTGTGTGTGTGAATGGTTTTTAATGTTTTCCAGGCCAAGGACCCCCAAACTGATGGCAAGATGGAGCGGGGACCCCCTAATTATATATATTACATGAAATTGTCTTATATCTAACTGGTCCTATCGTCACTCTATTCTCTCTGGGATGATTAAAGTATTTCTGATTCCTGGTTGATCGGACAGGTGTTGTGAATGAAACGGTGCCCAGCTTGAAAGAGCTCCTGTGTGTCGCTGAATGTGTGCATTGATGACTGAAAGACATCTTCTGCCTCCATTTATCTGTTTATTACGATGTGTTGAATTCATGTTAACGTGGATTTAAAGACATTTCAATTGGTGGAAATAATTGGAGGGGAACATAAAAAACAAAAAAAGTCTAATCAACCAAAACTTTTGTGACCCCCATCCAGTATCTCTGTGGACCCCCTTGATGTCGTGGAACCCCTGTTGAAGACTTCCGGCTTAGATTTAAAAACAGAGGAGAACTGGGTCACGATGAAGCAAAGAAAGAAGAAAATCATAATTGATAGTTACAGATCAGATTTCATTTGATATTTTCCTAATATTGTGTTACTCTCATCTAAAGGCTTTATTCCTATTGGGAAACACAGTGGAGGAAGCATCATGCTGTTGGAGGTCCATCCATCCATCCATCTTCCTCCGCTTATCCGGGGTCAGGTCGCGGGGGCAGCAGCTTAAGAAGGGAGGCCCAGACTTCCCTCTCCCCAGCCACTTCTTCCAGCTCTTCAGGAGGAACCCCAAGGCGTTCCCAGGCCAGCCGAGAAACATAAGTCTCTCCAGCGTGTCCTGGGTCTTCCCCGGGGCCTCCCCCCGGTGGGACGTGCCCGGAACACCTCACCAGGGAGGCTGTTGGAGGTGTGTGGATATAAATAAGCAACAATAAAAGAGAGAACCTGTTGAGGTTCAAACTCCAGACGGGGCAGTTTCACTTTCCAGTGAGACTTTACCTACAGTTGAAGCAGTGATGGAAGGGTTTAGATCACAGTTAGCTCACATCCAACATGTCAGTGTGTCAATCCAGCCTTTAAGGTCAGGTGTCCTTCGCCTGTTAGATCTGCTCCTTGTTTAATAACATAATTCAAATGCCTGAATTACCTCCTCATCACATAGTCAAGTTCTCCAGAGTCCTGCTCAGGACCGGATTATTTCACTCAAGTGTGTTTAATCAGAGACACATCTAAAAGCTACACGACTTCCAACCTTTGGGGCTGGAGTGGAACACCTTGTTTCTGTACAAATGTTTCACTAGCAGTAAATCTTTAAGACAAATTTATGATTTCAGGGTTGGAAATGTCAAAACTGAGCGTCACAAATACTCTTAATTAAACCTGACTGGGCTGGAGCTTATTTTTGCTAAATAAAAGTGATTTAAGATTCTAGATGTTCTACTGAGGTTCTACTGTTTTAGGCAGGCTGGTTTGATGCCATGTCTTTAATATTGATATCTGGGGGAAAAAATTTATTATTGCTTTCTGTCTTCTTCACCAACTTTGTAGTATAAAGTACTTACAGGCCTATTTTAAAGTTTTATAAGAAAAGAAAAAACAGTTTTATTGCTCTGGCAGATGTTATGCAAATTTGTAATAAAATATTATTTAGTTGTAGAAAAGAGAATGTGTAATCAATCAAAAACTTGTGAACCAAAGGCATCTACTTTGCCAAATCTTTTGCACTTTATTTAAATAAAAAAAAGATTCTGGGTAAATCTTTCATTGAAAACACTTCTGTATGAAGTCAAGTGTAATGAATCAAGTAAAAGCTGATTTTAGCGTACCAAGATCTGTTTTTAGTAAAAGTTGCTGAATAAATGGGGTTCTTTTCATAATTAAATTAAAACGAAAGGATAATTTAGGTTATTAAAAGACAAATACTTTGCATTGAATCTTTTTTTTTTCATTGTAAGAAAATGTATGCAGTCTGCATCTGCTTCAACCACCATCTTTGAATTTCAATCAAAGGGCAGCAAACGCTGCTTTTCAGATTTAAGGACTATATTAGGACGCATCTTGACAAAATATGAAACCAATTCCAGTTCCAAGCTATCCCTCTTTTTTTCCAAGTAATTCATGTTCTAAATGTATTTCATAAAAAAAAAAAAAAAAACATAAAAAAGACAGATGTTTTGGGGTTTTTTTCGCCATGTTTTTATTTCTAATGTGTTTCTTATTTTTTTTTCCATTTGTCCACAAAGTTATATTAGTCACTACTATGTTAGATCAGTTTTCCCTCACTGCAATGGCAGTCAACTACACAAGAGCCCAAACCCAGCATGGCCCCTTAACTTCCTGGGAGATTTGTCATTTCAAGTTAATGAATGATGTGAAAAACAAAACAACTAAAAGAACTGATGTAAAAGAAAATATCAGTTTCATACTAAAACTTAGAGATGACGGATGAAGTTTTGAAATGTTAATATGGATGGTTTGAAATGAAAGACGTAGTTTACCAAACAGTTTTGTCCTTTCAGAGCAATTAAACCTCAGCATTTTGCCTCGGTCAATATGCCATAATGATTGGACCATGATTGTCTGGCAATATTATTCCCATATGCCAGTAGGAGAAGCTGAAGGGGCCACCGCTTAAGTTTGTGCTCTCTTTAAAAACCAAAAACAAACAAAAACACAACATCTCTAGAGCTATCTGTACAACATTCAACATCACATTTCTCTTTTTTTTTTAACCATAATGCCAAAAACAATAATACTTATCATTATAAGAGCATTTTTCCATCTCAACGGCATTGAACAAACACCACACAAACAAAAAAAAATCTAATAAAGGCCTCAATACCAGATAGTACACGTCACCTTCAAGTGGTGCTACAGACTGACGGTTTATGGATGATAGAAGAGCATGGAGGAGGAATAAGTAGGACATGGAAATAAAAGAATACGTTAGAGAGAAGAAAAGGAGAAAGAACCTATCAATTATTCTTCTTTCTCGGCCGTTTTTTGCTTTTAGTGTCACATTGGACATCTTTTGGCACCTCATAATGTTAAAAACATTGTTCACGAAATGTAATTTGGGCTTTGGTTTTACCAAGGATTAGTATCAAGATGACAAGTAGCTTCACCATACAGCTACAGTCTCATTGAATTGCCTAGGGCTTAGGTAATCCATATTCTTCTGGGTTAAAGTATGGCCTAGTGGCCTTGTTTAAGGCCCAACGGGCCTGATGAGCAGAAGCTAACGCAGATACAGCTTTCCACTGGAGAGAACAGTCAGTCAGGAAGCAAAGAGGTGAGAAATAAGAATAAGGGAATACGTCAATGCAATGAAGAAGGGGGGGTAGGGTACAACAAAGGAAGGAGAGAAATTATAGAGACAAGAGGAGAGAAGTGAAAGCGTGACACAGGCTAAGTGCTTTTGGTGAGTTTTACAAAATACAACAGGAAGTGCTTGAAACAGAAGGCACGGTGGCATTGATAGTAGTTGTAAAGGAGACACCACTAAGGGACTTTTTCACTACAAAACTCATAAGGTGCTCTAAAAAAAACAGACTCCAAACACAGTAATGCACATTAAAGTGTGGTAGCAGTAATTCTAGAAGGGCTTTTGTATGTCAGAACAAATGTTAGCCTAGTACACATAGTCAGTAGGAAGCAACCAGATGTTTCTAAAGAGAAGTCTAAAGAAATATGGATCCGTTTCAGGCGCCTTTCCTACCAAAAAATGCTCTTAGGACATTGGCTGTAACATTTTCATTTTGTATTGGCGTGATTACTAGCACATTCAAAAGCATTTATGTCTTAAAATGGGAGAAAATGAAGGGGATTTGGTGGGATATCTCCTGAATCGCTCGCTTTCAGAACAGTTAATTTGTTTATGTGTGAAATTCACAGTGGTGTACCGCGTCGGGACTGACTTTCTTAATTCTGCCCAGACACCATTTGTTTTTCCTTCATATTTATGACAAATTGAATCTTAAGATTAGGTAACGATATCTAAGGATGATTACTCTAAAATCTGACTGACAATGCTACACACTCTACATATTGTACTTGACATAGGCCTGCAGCTACAGAGAGTCCAGCAAGATCCTTATCAGCCTGGGGTAAGCCATGTCAAGTGTTTACATGATTTTCTCATAGCAATGTGTCTTTCTAAGCCAATGAAACACAAGGCTACTACACAACAGTGTTTCATGGGTAAATAAATAAGAGATTCAGATGAAGACGCCCTGGTGTCTACATGGTGAGTTGTATGATCCCTTAAACAGACATTAGCAAGAATATAAAGAACAAAATCTGGTACCATAAAGGTAAGGCTAAGCAAAAACAAGGCTTTGTTAGGCTTGTTCAGAGATGTTCTTCATTTCAGTGGACTTGAAAAAAATTAAACTTTACCTTATTGCCGTCTACAAGCAAGTTTTTTAAAGGTATGGCAGCCCTTTTTTAATTGCCCTATCGTAACAACCCTTCCTAAGCTGGCTATATCCATTGTTTTATCTATTCTGTAACATCATACAGTATTTTTGTGCCCATACATATATTAATTCATGCAATTGGAGACCTGGCTTCGTTTTGTTTTTATTTTTTGCACGCTATTCTTGGTGGTTACATTTTGCTGTCCTGATTTTCTCTAAAATGCTTACAAGCTTTTCTGTTTCTGTTATTTGGGGGTTTAATAAAATGAAGACCTATTAATATATTGTGTGCATGTTGTTATTTAGTCTGATTGTTTTACTACAAAAATGTGACTTCAAATAAA